CTGCCTGCCCGCTGCATGAGGAAAGTACCTGACTTCTCCCGGCTCGTCCCGCCTTCCCGGCGCCGGGCAGGTGTGCGTGGTGCCGAGGGGTGCGGGGCTCGCCGCGCCAAGCTCCCAGCTGTGACCCGCGGTGCGGGTGGGGGTTTGTTACTATGGCGAATCCCTTCTCTGCCGCGATCAGAACCTGTGAGCCTTTTACAAAGAATCGCGCTTCCCCGGATTTACAGGCGATTCTGGCGTACTTGACAAGTTTGGGGTTACTTAGCAGGAACTCCTGGTGTACCGAGTCGTGACGAGTAATAGGTAGAGGTGATTTGGCTTCAAGTGCTCTTTGAGGAACAGGCAGTTACAGCTGATTTAATGTCTCTGTAACCGCAGACTTTGAGCAGATCCTAAGAAGTGAGATACTGGTGTGCTGTTCTCTAAACCATCTCTCTGCTAAACTGAGCATCCTTCAAGGGGTGGGTTTTTTGTGTTCTCAAAATTCCCAGTTTCATTGCTATAGTAACAGCTGCTATGCTCATATGTTCTCTTCTGTGACATAAATAGATTTGAAGATAAATAGGATACATAAAGAAGTTTGGCTGAGTTTATCAGTCAGGTACACAAGTTTCTTACTGGAGTTAAGACCTCATCCCCCTTTCTCCTCTCACCCACCTCCCCTCCCCCACTCCAGCTGTTGTTAGCATCCTATATAATTCCAGTGTGTCTAAACACACACATTGAATTAACTGATAATAAAATATGGTATTGATCTATCTCCTTGTAAGAACTATTTGATGGAGGGGTTTTTTCCTGTTTAAAGGACAGGGATTTAAAAACTTTTATATATATATATATGTAACAGCATTTTTTAATTTCAGAATGTGTAAAGCAACAGAATCACTAAATAGTGCTAAAATGGAGATCTTGGGATGCTTATATCAAGCCTGTTGTCAAATAGTCAATCTCAAAATACAGCGTGGTTTATTTAGCAGTTATGTTAGTCAAACTTTCCTGATGTAGTCCAACATACTCTTGGCCACAGTTATAAAATACTACCTTTGTAAAGAAAAAATTTAGAATTGCCACAGGCTTTTTATTTTAGGGAGTTTCCTAACTTCGTCCTGTAGCAAGAGTTTTTTGAGTATAAAAAGGCATGGAGGGAACTGTCAGCATCAAAAGAACAGAGAAAAAAAACAATTTACAGCTTATATACCTGTGGCTATAAACTACCAGTATTTTCATGATTTTTCTTACCTTTGTTGTAGGATAGAAGTCTTTATTTGAGAAGTTTCTAACAGGCACGGTCCGTTTTCCTGTTTTGTGTACTTTTAGCAATGGAATCTGTACTGTATTGGGGTTTTGGTTTGGGGTTTTTTTTAAGAAGGCATCTTTGACAGCATTGCAGCATCAAACCTGTGATGATAGCTTAGTCAAAACTTGTTTATGTAGGGTTTAAGGTCTATCATAATAACTCTGAAGGTGCTACAGTGTTGGAGAAGCTGTTTGTCTTAGGCTAGATCCAAGTTGCAATGTGGATTTAGGCTTTTTTGGCCTTCTTGGCCAATAGTGATTCTGCAGGCATTCCTAATAGGGCTTTCTACTTCGATTTGAATAGAAGTTAAGAAACTGACATTCATTTTCATGGATTGCTTTTAAATAAAAGCTTTTGATAAGAGTTCTGCATCTTGCATAACCTGCCTCTTTTTAAAGCCTACTGCAGGGAGTTGCTTGATTCACTGATTTATGGCTTTGGTTAAGGAAAAGCCTGTAGATACATGCATTTAGGAAGTGGCTGATGTATTTTTGTGGGAATTTTCATATGGAAACAGTGATGGATCATTTGAGTTTCCTGTTAAGTTTGTAAAAATTGATAAATACTATGAACTTTTCACAGTGTTGGGTTGACCAGAACAAATATAACAATCTTCTGAGTCGTATCTCATAGGGATTTGCTTTTAAGATATATACAAAACCCCTCTTTGTTTTATTTTATAACAAATGGAAAATCCTGTAACCTGATTAAGAATTAGGTGGCAGACATGCAGAGATAGTACTGCTATGTGGAAAGAATCAGTGTAAGTAACAATAAGTAAATAAATACCTTTTTTTTTTTTGCCCCCCACAGTGGTGACATGCCTTTCAAGTAGTCCTTGAAAGGAGCTCTATCACATGACCCATTCTTTTGCAAAGGTTTACTATTGTGTGCTCTCACTCCTTATTTTCCATTGCCATTCTGAAGCATGTTCCTCATGGCCTCCCTGCCATCCCGAGTTACACTTTTGCTAGCAGTGTTAAGTGCCTGACTAATCTTCTAGACTTTCCCTGGATTCCTTGAAGTCTATGGCCTACACAGGGGCTTAAAATTAACATATGTTTTAGAGCTAGACAGGATTGGATGGTACAAATACTACTAAAACAATACTTATTTTTTTTTTTTCTATGGGTATTTTTGCTCAGAACAGGTTTAATATTTGAGTTGTAAGTGTACTACATTATTGCAGGAATTTTTCAGTCATTGTGTTAAAAATCAAATCCATTGAGAGGAAGGGCATGCAATTGCATTTTGAAAGGCTAATAAGGCTAGTGTTCAATAAATAACATTTTTTGCTTCCTGTTCACAACATCTATGATCTAAAGATGAGTTGAGGTTTTTGGTTGGTGGGTTTTTTGTTGTTGTTTTTGTTTTGTTTTTTTTTTTATTTTTGAGAGATAGGAGGAGGAGGAGTGGAGACTAGTTGTCACATTGCACTGATTGATGGTTTGCCTGCTGTGATTAATGTGAAGTTGCATTGGTATATATGTGTCATCACAGGGATGATGTTATATGAAGTAATCTTTTTTTTTTTAATCTCTGGGAATAAAAAAATTATTATTTGTAGTAATTACTGGAAATACAAAAAATACATTTGTTTTAATTATTTTTGCATGATATCAGAAATTTGTCCTGGAGCTATCTAGTTCATGAATACTACTGGCTTTCAGTGTGCTAAACAAGCCAAACTGTAGCACTACCAGCCTTAAATATTTAAAAGAGAAGACATTCAGATATGATCCATTTTTAAAAAGACTGAAATCAGAAGTTACAGAGATTGCCCAAAACATAATCTGTGTAAGACTTAACTGAAGAGATGGCATTATTTATATTAATTTCCTATTTCTTAAAAATTTGATTATGAAACAACTTGAAATTATAAAAATGGCAATTCTTAGACTTCATCCTGAATTTCAAATGAGACATGCAACAGCATGCAATGACTCAGTTTTAACCGAGTAACCTTAGAAACGTCTTCAGAAATGGCTTTTAGTCTAGTTATACTTGAGCTGTTGCCATTGCCAAATATGTGCGTGGATGGGTATGTGTGTACATGTGTATATAGTGATTCTGGTGAGTGTACACTTGCTGTGTTTATTCTTAGTCTAGCTGCTTCATTGCTATGATCTGCAATTACAGTTTTAAAAGTATTTTTCTTCTCTGCACCACTCCAAAGCATATTCAGTCATCTGTTCAAGCAGCAATTTGAATCTAGAAAGCACAGTTTGTAAATACCTTCTTGGAGCTTCCACACCTAGACTGAGCTGCAGAGTGCTGCTGGGAGCCAAACTCACCAAAGCAACCCTTTTTGCCTGGAAGGAGGAGTGTGTAAGACAGCAAGCAGCAGAAACATGGGAAAATCCCTTCAGGAGGCAGGTTGTCACACAGGTGCCCATTCTTCATGTTCTTTTGAAGCATCTCCTGCTGGGCAGAATCAGACAGACAGTACTAGAGGAGTACTGAGTTTATTTAGGAGAAAGGGGAAAGGAGGCAGTGAAAGTGTATTGTTGAGATAGTTTCTGCCTCAGGTTATGTGATGGGAGCAATCCCTACAGAGCCATTCCTGTCTTTTCATCCAGGCTTAGGGAAAACTAA